TACTGTAGAGGTTTCACTAACACCTTTTGGGGTAACTCTGCCTGTGCTAAGGTCAGCTTTAGTAGTCAGGATTACTTTAGTGCCATCCTCAGAAGTAAGGGTTTCTCCAATAGAAAGGGTAGTTGAAGAAGTAGATGCTTTACTGCTCTCTTCATCAGGGGTAGTACCAGAGGATTCCATGCTACTGTGGAAATCATCTATCGTAATCTCAAAGCTGCTAGTCGTTCCTGTGACAAGGTTCGGAGAAACAGAAGTGCTAGATAGGATTATCGGCTTAGAGGTAACAATAGGGCTTCTCAAGGACGTGGGTTGGGTTTCGTTCGCCACGATTCTGTTTAAAATCCGAGTTACAAAGCCTGAACCTGTTGCCATCAAAGGTTTTGTAACTTCTGAGATCGAATCAGTGATCCTAGACGAAAGGGTAGGAGTAGAAGTTGCACCTCTATGAAACACCTCAGAAGTTACCACTCCAACGGTTTCAGAAGTAACTCTTTGCACAGCAGAGACTTCAGTAAGGTTTATGCTCTCGTTCGAATGAATTGTTCCTGGTTGAAGAACAACGAGAGAATTAGTGACTTCAATGAAATATGGAGTATTTCGAGATTTTTCCGTAGTTGTATAAGTAGAGCTTGTATCCTGAGGTTGATTAGTACCGACAGACAATGTTGGTTGTTTGCTAGTATCACTCGTGTTATCAGTTATGGTTATCGCACTCGTGGTTATCGGCACACGATAAATACCTGATGTATCTGTATGTGTAGTGCTAAATTCGTGAATTGGTGTACTTTCAGTGGTGATGGATGATTCAGTGGTGGAATAGGTGGATTCAATGCGGTGCAGAGGTGTGGTTGACGTCGGCTCACGGGTAGAGCTCTGAAATTCAGTGGTGAACTCCGTGCCAGTGCCATCCTTACCATGTCGCAGAGTCGCCAATTTGGGTTCTTGCGTCGTTGTCGCGACACCTCGCGTATCGCCACTAATCAGTTCAACAACCTCTTTCTCGTCTGTTTCCACAATACTGCCTTTTGGCGTTGTTGTGGGTTCAGAAGCGGGAATAGCGCTGGTGACTGTAGATGGGGTGGACGTCACGGCA